AATTTGACGACATGAACAAGATTTCGGTGAAGTTATCGTCAAAGTGTTTCCACATAGAAGCTGTGGAATTTCTCGAGCACCACATGACGGAGGAGGAAAAAAAGTATTTCACCGAACAATCGCAATTCAGGCACATATTTCATATGAAGAAGAAACAGTCACTGAAGATGAGTTTAATGGTTGCACTCATCAACCAATCAGTCAAGACCAAGAAAGATGACGAGTTATGGTTCGTGATGAACGGAGTCCCAATTAGGTATTCGCTGTGGGAACACGCTATTCTCTGTGGTTTAAATTGTTCTCCGTTGCCCGAGAATTGGGAGGACATTGGAGGGTTCGAATTCTACCGTAAATTCTTTGGTCAAGAGAGTTTTGAAAAGGTTATGAAAGCAGAAGTAATGAAGAAGTTTGGAGAATTGGCTGTAGATGACAGAGATGACCGATTGAAGATGGCTTATTTGTTGCTGCTCAGTTATGTCATTGGGCACCAACATTCGGAATACGTGAATCCATTTCTGTTGAAGATTGTCAACAATGTGGATGCATGCGAAAAATTCCCTTGGGGGACGTTCACGTTCAACAATGTTCATGAGTTTGTGGTGAACTATCTGAATAAACATCGGAAGCCGGCTAATCAGTGGAACTTACCAGGGTTTATAATTCCCCTCACGGTAAGGGTTTAGGGTTTACTAAACAAAATAAAGAGTTGTCAAGAAATACTTTATTAATGTTTTGTATTTGTTATAACAGATGTTGCCGTTCGAATGTATTCCCAAGCTTCGTTCAGGCGGATGGTATAGTGAAGTCAGGGTGGAAGGAAATGTGAAACAATCCTGTCCAAGGATGTGCCGACGATGTTTCATTCCGAAAAAGAAGTATGGAATCAGACAAGGTTTGACAAGGATCGGAAGGACGCAGGTCAGTTCCAAAAGAGTAGTAATAGTGTAGTCTGAAAAAATAGTGTTAGGGAAGTTGAAAAACAGTTGTGGTTTTTAGTCGTTTTCTTACTTGAGCATTTAATTTCAGGATATTGCGAGCATTCTAATTCCAGAGGAGGCTGAGAGCCATCTGGTTGTGCATTTGGAGACAATTGATAATGTTGATGAGGTGGTTGATAGTTGGATGGCGCATTTGGTTGAAGATGTGAAATCTGAATACGTCTAACGTCCTGCGTAACAGGAGGATTATAAAGGCGTGTATCAGGCACGAAACGAATCATGTACTGGATTGTAGATAGTCAAGACGGGATTTGTACCTCTCGTAAAAGAGAGAGATATCGCTGGGCCCCTCGTGTGAGAAAGACTGTAGAAATGTGTGGCCGACTATAGACGAACGTCGTCTATTTCAGACAGTCGAACTCAGTGAACGAGAAAGCAGTCGAATCAGATAAGGTGGCTTGTCCATGCCTGATGTTCGACATATGATATCGTGATACAAAAGGATCATCAATTCGACATATGATATCGCGATACAAAAGGATCATCAGTCGGAATCATCACTGGCTTTCGTATGATCACAAACAAACTCTATTCGAGATAGGTAGTCATAGTGTCTTGCTAGAGACTGCCTATGACTTGTATTACCGGAATGAAGATTCTGCGTTTTACTGCTATTCCGGATGAGTCTACAGGGTCACACACAATAGGGATGGACAAGTACGTGTGCTAAATTATCCCGATTAGGAATCCTAATTGGATTGAGATTCCTAATTGGAATAGGAATCCTAATGGGATTAGGAATCCTATTATGTATAGGAATCCTAATGAGATTAGAATTCTATTACATCTAGGAAACCTAATGAGATTAGAATTCTAATAGGTTTAGGAAACCTAATTAGATTAGGATTCCTAGTAATCTATTCCTTGTCAAATTAGGATTTTTGGAAAGTCTATATAAGGAGAATGTCTTCTAGGGTTTTAAAATAAGAGAAGAAAAAGAAGAAGAAAAATTAATACATATTTTTCAGTTTAGAATTAGATTCTAAGCTTTGAAAAATAAAACCCTAAGCCTCCAAAACCTTGCACACAAGAGAGATCGAGCTCTCTAGTCCTAGCAGACAAGTTCCAAGGTGTTGGAATCCTTCCCGACGTGTGGATACGTGTAGAGGGCGAGGTATTCTTCCTGCCTAGAGTGATCGGACGAACAGATCAATTGATACAGGCCCCGGATCGATTGAGGTAAGCGTTCTAACGTTTCTATGATTCAATAGTAGCATGGTTCTAGGGTTTCATTAAAATTTTTGTTTTATATCCGCTGCGCAAACCCTAGAATCGATCTCTTAGGAATTAGATTCGCTCTAGAGATCCCAGGAATCCCATCATCAACCACCTCATCAACATTATCAATTGTCTCCAAATGCACAACCAGATGGCTCTCAGCCTCCTCTGGAATTAGAATGCTCGCAATATCCTGAAATTAAATGCTCAAGTAAGAAAACGACTAAAAACCACAACTGTTTTTCAACTTCCCTAACACTATTTTTTCAGACTACACTATTACTACTCTTTTGGAACTGACCTGCGTCCTTCCGATCCTTGTCAGACCTTGTCTGATTCCATACTTCTTTTTCAGAATGAAACATCGTCGGCACATCCTTGGACAGGATTGTTTCACATTTCCTTCCACCATGACTTCACTATACCATCCGCCTGAACGAAGCTTGGGAATACATTCGAACGGCAACATCTGTTATAACAAATACAAAACATTAATAAAGTATTTCTTGACAACTCTTTGTTTAGTAAACTCTAAACCCTTACCGTGAGGGGAATTATAAACCCTGGTAAGTTCCACTGATTAGCCGGCTTCCGATGTTTATTCAGATAGTTCATCACAAACTCATGAACATTGTTGAACGTGAACGTCCCCCAAGGGAATTTTTCGCATGCATCCACATTGTTGACAATCTTCAACAGAAATGGATTCACGTATTCCGAATGTTGGTGCCCAATGACATAACTGAGCAACAACAAATAAGTCATCTTCAATCGGTCATCTCTGTCATCTACAGCCAATTCTCCAAACTTCTTCATTACTTCTGCTTTCATAACCTTTTCAAAACTCTCTTGACCAAAGAATTTACGGTAGAATTCGAACCCTCCAATTTCCTCCCAATTCTCAGGCAACGGAGAACAATTTAAACCACAGAGAATAGCGTGTTCCCACAGCGAATACCTAATTGGGACTCCGTTCATCACGAACAATAACTCGTCATCTTTCTTGGTCTTGACTGATCGGTTGATGAGTGCAACCATTAAACTCATCTTCAGTGACTGTTTCTTCTTCATATGAAATATGTGTCTGAATTGCGATTGTTCGGTGAAATACTTTTTTTCCTCCTCCGTCATGTGGTTCTCGAGAAATTCCACAGCTTCTATGTGGAAACACTTTGACGATAACTTCACCGAAATCTTGTTCATGTCGTCAAATTCATAGTAGAATTCGGCTTTGGGTATATCCCAAATCTGCAACAAAACAACGAGATTCATCAAACATACATCACAACACGACATTCTCAGAAACGGGTTTGAAATTCCACTACTTCACTATCATTTCTTAATTGCTACTTCGTATAAAATACTTAAAATTAAAAAGTTACATGAGCACGATTTCACCAAATCTGTTCAACTCTTCGCATTATCCGACATCACACTCCCCTTTAACCCAGACTTTAAAAACCCAGATTTAAATCTAATTCCAACATGAAAACCCTAAACCCAGATTTTTACTTACATGTGTTTTCGGAGAAGCATTTCCCTCCATTGTTCTTTCTGGCTCCGGCTCTGTATACGTCTCCGTGTCCGTATTCTCCGACTCAGGCTCCGTCTGCGTTCTCTCGCCGGCAAACCTCGACACCACTCTGGTTCCAGCACCGACTCGACCTCGACCTCGACCGCGACCTCCTTCCCTCGACGACGATGGCTTCATTTTGTTCGTCTGGCTCTCGATTTTTCTGGGTTTCGTCGCTTTCTTCCTGCTTTCGCTGGCACTCCGCTGATTTCGCTTCGATTTCGACTCTCGATTCGTTTCCTTCTGTCGATTTCGCATGAGTTTCCCTCCCTCGCTTTCTCTTCTCTTTGCCGTTTTCGATTTTGAAAGGGTAAAAAACCCTAACTTTCTTTTTTACGATTTTAACTAAACATTTTCACTAGTTTTTTATTTAATTCGAATTAAAAAATTTTCGCACGTGTTTTTACCTCACACGCGGGTTTCATTAAGGGTTTATAGGTCTTTTCCATTTTTTACAGGGGTAAACTCGATATTTGATAATTCTGTCTATTTTTTAGGTGTACCTGAGAAATTGTTGCGACTCAACTCGGCTATTTGAGTAAAATCCCCTCTGCGTCGCCGTCGTCGGCCACCGGGTCTCGTCTCACTCTCCCTCTTCTATTTGGTTTGATCCCATACGACTTCTCATCTCGACTCCTAATTTTGATCCAAATAGAACAATCCGCTTCACACCCAGAGCTTCACAGAGGCCAACGGCGCCCTCAAGCTCCATCACATCGTCCATTGACGAGCGAGGTCTTTACTCTTTCCTTTGTCCGCTGTTGTGATGTATGTATGTTGTATCTGATGGAAAATGGGGGGATCTATAGTACCTGTCTTTTGGTCAGCGAACAACCCAAAAAGGTCGGGAACAGCATCGAACGATGCTTTTCTGGGTCTGCTTTATCCTACATTAAACTACAAAGTGTAAGCAGATGTAGTCTATATTCTTCATACAAACACCATTGCTGTTCTATTTATGTCCCGTATGTGTAAGTTTAAAATTCTTTAAACTCATCTATCTTCAATATGCATCACTTTAACGTACAAATTTACAACGAAATTGCGTTGCAATATTTTTCTATATATTCAACATCCAAACACAATCCAAACACAATTCATCAACTCACTCTAAAAATTATCTAAAAACTCTCTCTATCCTCAACTCTTAAAAAAAATCAAATAAAAATATATTTATTATTTTTATTAAATATTTATTTTATTATTTTGTTAATTATTTATTTATAAACCTTAATTTATAACTTTTAAATAAACTTTATAATTCTACAAATATATATATATATATATATATATATTTATTATCTTTATTTAATTCTATATTATTTTTATTTAATATTTATATTTTATTAATATTTTTTTAATTAATTATTTTTTAAATTTTAATTTAATTCTTCTAAAAAACCTGAAATTCTAAATTATTTTTTTTATTTTTATATTAATTTTAGCAACGAAATTGCGTTGTTAATTTTGCAACGCAATTTTGTTGCAAAATTAGCAATTCATTTTTTTCGTCGCTTTTGCAACAAAATAATTGCGTTGCAAATAGCAATGAAATATTTTCGTTGCAAAGCGTTGCAATTTGCAACGAATTGAAACGCTATATTGGTTTGCAACGACGAGTTAGCAACGAAAATTTTTTCGTTGCAAACACTGTTTTGCAACGAAATTTGTAGATTTGCAATTAAAAATTTTCGTTCCTAAAAGACTGTTTTTTTGTAGTGTAAGAAACACAATATATGAATCATGTCGATAAGTCCTCTTAGTACGAGTATTATCTTCCATGTATTACAGTATATCATGTGTCTTTAAACTTTATATGATAACATTACTTAATGAATAAGCCTTATGCTTATTCTAGGTCCAAGTAAGTGAGTCTTTTAATATCAAATATAGTGTACACTAAAGAAAAAGATACTCACAACTGAATAAGAGTTTCATGAATACATAAATGTACGTACAAATGAAATAATCACATCATGGAACCAAGTCCCATACTCACAACATGATCCCTGAAGTTCTTAATTGGCATGTCAGAGGATCGACAATCATCAATTCAGTGCTAATGTGTTCAATGACCACTTCCTTTTCCGCGCAACGTTCTCTTATGGCTAAGTACTTGATGTCGATGTGTTTACTCCGACTTCCACTCTTATTGTTCTTAGCCATGAAGATAGCAGCTGGATTATCACAATATAATCTCAATGGTCTAGCAATAGAATCCACAATTCTAAGCCCGGATATGAAACTCTTCAACCATACACCATGCGACGTTGCCTCGAAACATGAAACGAACTCAGCTTCCATAGTGGAAGTAGCTGTCAATGTCTGCTTGCCACTCCTCCATGATACAGCTTCACCGGCAAGCATAAATACATATCCAGATGTTGACTTACGCGAGTCAACACAACCAGCAAAGTCTGAATCTGAGTAACCGATGACCTCTAAATTGTCCGTTCGTCTATACATAAGCATGTGATCCTTCGTACCTTGTAGGTATCTCATCTCCTTCTTTGCAGCTTTCCAGTGGTCCAAACCTGGATTACTCTGATATCTCCCTAACATTCCCATGACAAATGCAATATCAGGTCTTGTGCAAACCTGAGCATACATAAGGCTTCCAACTGCAGAAGCATATGGAATGTTCTTCATTTGTTCCCGTTCGAGCTCATTTTTCGGGCATTGATTCAAGTTGAACCTATCACCCTTCACAATAGGTGCTGGACTCGGTGAACAATCTTTCATCCGAAACCTCTCCAAGACTTTATTGATATAGGTCTCCTGAGACAAACTAGAATACATCTAGATCTATCTCTATGGATCTTAATGCCGATGACATAAGATGCCTCACCCATATCCTTCATGTCAAAATACTTAGAGAGAAATTGTTTCACCTCATACAACAACCCTTTGTCATTGGTTGCAAGTAAAATGTCATCCACATATAGAATCAGGAAACAAATCTTACTCCCACTGACCTTCTGGTATATGCAGTTATCCATGGTATTTTCTTCAAAGCCAAATGAAGAAATGACACCATGAAACTTCAAATACCACTGACGGGAAGCTTGTTTCAATCCATATATGGATCTCTTAAGTTTGCAAACCAAATTCTCACCACTACTAGAGGAGAATCCTTCAGGTTGTTTCATGTAAACCTCTTCCTCTAGTTCAACAGGCTTGGTATTTCACTTTTCCTTGAGTTGCCAAATGCACACTCTCTCCACCTTCCATAAGCAACCTCCATTCCTCTTGAACACACATGTTCAACAGTTCGTTGATCGACCATTTATCCTTATGTGTGTTGTAAGAGATCTTGAAGGGTTCGTATTGCTGCGGCAAAGAGTTCAAAATGTAATGCACAAGGAAAAAGTCAGACATGGTAACCTCAAGTGTTTTGAGTTGAGCCGCTAAATCCCTCATTTGCATGATGTGTTAACGCACTCCTTTGGTACTGGTGAGCCTCAAAGTGGAAAACTTCATAATCAGGGTGCTCGCCAATGCCTTATCTGAAGACTCAAATTGTTCATCAATAGCCTTCAGCAGCATACGAACATTGTCATACTGCTCGATCGAACCCCGAATGCCAGATGAGATGTTTGTCTTTATGAACATAACGCTGAGGCGATTAGATCGCTCCCACCTTTCATAAAGTTCAATCTCCTTAGGCTCACTCTCCTCAGTTATCGGAGGCTGTTCGTCTTTCTGAATAGCATAGTCAATGTCCATCCACCCCAAATGAAGCAGGATTCTTTCCTTCCACACCTTATAGTTATCCCCTTTGAGTTCGGGAATATCGCATTTCATGTCAGAGACATTCACAGGTTGAAAAACTGCACAAAACAGATCAATATACATGCTTATGTTAATAAAATTAAGGCAACTTTATGTGACGTTTTACCAATGTAAAAACATCAACAATATGAATCATATGACATAAAAACTGCATGTGGACTAAGTTTCTAATTCAAATAGATTCATTTAGCTTAATGATGAAACCATCGGATTATATTCGTTTCTCAATCCCTGTGGGCAAATTAAGAAACATAATCGACTTTCCACCCTAATTAATTACATAAATATAATAAAACTTCATGTGGGATAAATTTTATTATATCAATGTGATTAATTACAATCAATATCTGTAACTAAATGTGATCCAATAACAAAATTTATGTATAATTTAATTCTAATTAGAGTTGCTTTGGCTATTCTCTAATTTAAATAAATTATACGGACCACTAGATATCTATTTCTAATACATTATTGTTGAGAAATAGGCATAGTCTAGTGGTTGTGCCTTCCCATGTAGAATGCAAGGTCTTGGGTTCGAACTTTGCTCCTCCATGCCTTTTCCCTCATTTATTTTTAAATGAGAACCAATAATATATGTAGATATATAAACATAAATGGACCCATCACAGCCCACTAACATAACTTTCTAATATATTTAAAAAAAATTTAGAAAACCCTAAATTCATCTTCTTCTTTGCGTTATCTGTGCTCCACTTTCTGTTCTGTATGGCGACGACTCTTTCTCTACATTTTTTTTATATAAAATCTTTATCTCTCCGATGACAATGACAACTCCGATGGTGAAGGTTCATGACCGACGACCATCACCAGATTCGTCTACATAAATGTTGTCACGGAGAGTAAATCCGAGAATAGAGTCACCAACCCAACAAATCGCATAGATCCGAATCGCAGAGATGAAGAAAAAACAAAAAATTTCTATAGTTTTCTGGTCTAGCACAGATTACAAACAACAAGATACTCTATTTCTTATTTTAATGAGTTATGTTCATAATATCTATTTTCATAGATTCAACACAATATCACAACCCATCAATTTCTATATCAAAATTACAAAAGCATGGAATAATTCGAAATTTCTGTAACTAGAGTTAATACAGAAAAATTATTCCAATAATCATGTCAGATTTCATGAAAATTAACTAAATAAAATAGCAAAAAATTCATGAACAACAAATTTTCAATGCAGAGATTAACACCAGCTCTGATACCAAATATAAGTTTAAAATTCTTTAAATTCATCTAAATCATGATCTTCAATATGCATCACTTTAACATACAAGATCATGAATGCGGAAATAAAATTCTGAATCGGAAAACATACCTCCGTCTATTGAAATTCTTGAATTGAAATCTGAATATTTGGTGCTTCTAAACCTTTAACAATACAATACTGATGGTCTATTTCTATCTGTTTTGTTTGGTTTAGGGACCAAATACGTTACCCCTATTTATTGTTTTTTCTCCATCAGAAAAAACTGCTATTGGGGTGGTTATCATGCAGTTAACACAACATGGAGGAAATATTAGACATTAACATAATGGGAAGTTAATAATAAAAACTTCCAACAGTATGTTCCTGAAGGTATGGTTATTTGACTAATACGGAAGTGAAATTCATTTTGGTGACTACGGATTTGGGTGTCAGAGACACAGATGTGAGAAGTGTGAGTATCTCTTTGTTTATAGTTGATTACTTTGAAGAGTTCATCTACATTTATCTTTGTAGATGTGAAGTTTATTCCTCTAGACAATGGAGAGATCGATGATGCGTGATTGACGACATTTAACATTTTCTATCCCATGAGATGAAACTTGGAAGTAACTGCAGAGTTGTTTATGAGAAAAGGGAAATCATCACTAATCGGTTTGGTACTTTGGTGTCTTTTCTTTCTGTGAAAATGTCTACAGTTCGCCAGGAAGTTCCATGCCGCATATGTGGATGCAGTCTCAAACCCATTCCATGTTCCTGGAAAGAAGATCACATCGAGAGCTTTTGCTGAAACTGTAAGCAACATTGTCTGATCATACGGGCTGAACTGAGCCACTTCCTTCTGCCACTGGATGCTACTGAGCACGTGGATCCAAGGAAAAAGGGTTTTCCCATCTTGATATCTGGGTAGTGCGAAGAGACTGTTTATGCATCTGGCAGTGGCGGGCTGGTTCGTTGTCCTACAATTCCGACACAACTGAACTTATGTTAAAACGTGCTCCTGGAGGTTTGGGGGACAACTGGATAATCAACGTCCTGTATGGAGGATTCGATCAGCAATGCCAAGTGAAGATTTCCTGTCATGTAGGAAGGAGTTGTTCGCCAAGTCTCCTGATGCGCTTCCCTTTTGTGGGGGCATACAAGTCTCTCTCTCATCATCATTTGTTCATATCCAATATAAATTTAAAAAGCCCGTCTTCTTTTGTTCATTATTATTGGGCCATACCTTAAAAGCCCATTAACTTATAGTCACATATTTATTTGTAACTTCCAGAAAGACCAATTGTACAGTTCTGGCGACTACTTTATGAGACAGTACTCCCTCTGCACCTGATTGAAGAGCGCGCTCGATCATGGCGGCGGATTAGCTGGTAGGAGCCCAAAGACCGCGCCGCAGATCAAGCCGATAAAGGAGGCTCATACAGTTCAGGTGATTTTGCTTTTCTTTCGTTTCTCTTTCATCTCGTTCACTTTTAGGTTTTCATCGGTCCGGTTTCTCGATTCGTTTGGTTCTTCGATGTTCTGTCGCGTTACCGTGTTTTGCTACATTGTGGGTTTTCGGCACTGTTGCTTTCGTCTCGTTCACTTTTAAGTTAATGCATATGAAGATCGGAACTTCTACGGGTATTTTAAGATGTGAGTCAAGTCAGTTCATGGTTTTGTGAGCTTTGAATGATCTGATGGACGTGCGTATTTTATTTCGGAAGCAAATCTTTAGGTTCCGCACGTTTAAATTCTATGCTCTCTATCTAATGGGGATGTTTTGTGTTATCGAAGTAAATTGGCTTACAAGTTAGAACATAAAATATTTGAGGTTGATAGCCTTTCACTTCAGCTCGTATTTTGCTATCTGGGGTTTCAGAATTTGAAAAATCGCACTGAGAGGAAGATGGAGGCGGAGGTGGTGGAAGCGGAGATCGTGCTGCCAATGCACTTTAGGTTTAAGAAGATACAGACATATGAAAAATACCCGAAGGGCCAATCTCGAGGAAGGTGGAAACATCTCAAGCAGATTCTTCAAGCCGAGAATTTCCAGGATTACCCCCCTGATGAACCCAATTGTATGTCCCCTTTTTCCCAATTCAGATCAGAGATCAAGGCTCCTTCTTTCTTGGCCCTTGATGTATTTTATTCCTTACGTCTTCGATGTGCTTAATCGACATTTAGAGTTATCTGCTTTCGCCTAGGGTTTTTCTTATGTGTATCTTTTGTACGTCAACTCTTGCTTTCTTTGAAAGTTAGCATCTTACATAAGATTTTATGCATTGTTCCATCTCCCCATAAAATCTGCCTGCGTTTCTCTTTTTGGAATAGTACAACTGTTTCATAGGTTGAGTGAGTTTATGAAATTTTCTTTGTGCAGGTTTCCGAAGGTTGCTGAATATTTGAACAGGAGTGTTGAATTTGTTGCGCAGATGTCAATATCGAGTCACCGCCTTCGATGCAACCATGCAAGAGAATTTGTGACATAACTGGATATGAGGTACGGAAAGCTTGGAATATGTTTCTCTATAGAATGCACTTTAGGCCGAATGTTCAATTCTACATTTTTACCAAGGTGGCTATGGAAAAAGTGGTCTTAGATGATCATGCAAGCTTTTGGCAGAGTGTTTGGTGGACCGAACCAACTCATCATAATCCTCGAAATGAATTGAGCGTTTCTGTGTTTGAAGGCAGAGTCTGTGGTTAAGATATTACCCGAGTGTCTCGCAAAGAACAGTTGAAAACAATGAAATGCTGCTCACTTGACAAGTGGTTTCGTTTTGACAGGCCCCATATTTGGATCCAAGAACAAAACTACGTTATGCAAACACGGATGTCTTCAAGACTGTAAGATCCCTTTCTAGTGAGCAAGTGCAGCAGTACTTGGCGCTAAGGAATGCGGCTGTTGTTCTCAAGTAGCGTCTCGTAGGTGTGAGCTATGTATTCCTAGAATCTCATTTTAGTTGAAACCAAAATGTGCTGAAGATGGTCGTGTTTTTTCCGGGAAGTTATGTGTGCAAGCTACTTGTGTAATAGAAAAAGGAGAGATTTTTTTATTAGAATTATTATGTATTGTTTTTTTAAGTCATCAATAACATTTTATAAAAGATTTTGATGGGTCGAGATATCCAAGCTCAGCGATGGGCATCTGATATCCAGATTGTCCGCATGTGAAAACGAGGTAATATTTTGCTAAAATCTATGAAAGCGAAACCGGACATCTCCAAAAAGTCAGGTGTCTTACTAGGTGGAGGACATCTGCTTTTATCTGTCCAGAGTGATTCTTAATGTTCCGACCGGTTCAGACAAGGAGAGCAAAGCAAACGCAACCACCACCATACAGAACTCACTTGACAGCCTCTCTATTGAATAGGCAAAACATCGTCAACATCCAAGTTTATTTGGGATTAATCGCACGGATTCTTAGTTTTCATTCATTTCGGTTTTGTATTAACTCTTCTGAAATTTAACTCTGTCTAGACATGAATTCGCTAGTGTTTAGCCGGTTCCAAACCTGGATAAAGAATTCTACATAAAAGAGGAGGTTTTTGCGGTATGTTACAACCAACAATTCAAAACTATTTCATATTTCATGAGATTGGATAGACAAAACGAGGTAAAAAAAACCACCGCTACCCTGTTGTTTCAAATGTGGTACGGGCAGGGAATAGTGAGACGGCTGGTGGAAGCGGCATTGCACTGCCGGAGGCAGCGATAGATGGGGATGACTGACCTCCTCTTCCACTTCCACGACGTGGTCTGTTAGTGAACAAAGTGAGCAAAGAGAGATCGACGAAGACATGCATGGTGGACAGCAACATAACGGCAACACGTAAATAAGGCAAGGAGATAATTAGCAAGGAGACACGTACAGATTTGATACTCTTCCTTTTATTTGTATATAAAATATTGCATTGCCATACTTAGTGTCGATACAATGTAGAATATATATCACTTGTAAATGTATGCAGCATATACGAGAATATACACAGTAGCCCCTTTTTTTCTATTCTTCGTCTTCATCGCCTTTTCTCTTTGAGATGTATTGATCAGATTCCTCTGTTCTTACTCTGCATTATTCCATCTGTTGAATCATTTTCTTTATGGTATCAGAGCACCAAGATCTTTGATCCCTCTTCATTCCAAATCTCTTTTCGTTTCAAATCCTCTTTGCTACCCTCCATTGACAGCCATGGAAACCACACCGAAACTTATCCCGATCACCTTGACCGGTGAAAATTATTTCTATTGGACCAAGGCTGCAATGGCGGTTCTCAATAGCAAGGGTTTATGGGAGCATATTTCGCTTGAAAAAAAGGTGTCTCCCCCACATGAAGTGGCCATCGAAGGAGAAACCCCCGAGCAAGAACAACAACGTCTCCAAAGAAACCGACAAGCTGTGTCCGATTTTAGCAAATGGAAACAGGAGGACAGTCAGGCCTTGGTGATTTTGCAAGGCTCTTTGGATGTGCACCTCCTCCAATCTTTCATCTCTCAAGACACAGCAAAGTCCCTTTGGACAGCAATGTCGGCAGCGCAAAAGGCGCGATGGTTTAGCGGCTATGCCGGAAAAAGAAAATAAATGGTGCAAATGCACGCGGCTAAAGCCGAAAAAAAAAGAAGATGACGCAAATGTGTGGATCGACGATCGGAGTATTCCAATCGAAGAGGTTAAAAGCCGGATTCAAAGGCTGATGTGGCACGGATGTGCGGCGCATATGCGCGAGTTGGGTTGCACGACAATGAAGTCGGCAGAAAAAAAAAGAGTAGCACATCGGCTAGGGTTGACAGTGATAAACACCGTCGTCGGAAAAAAATAGAAAAAAAAAATGAATGGAAGACGATACTCAAGGTGATGATACTATTGAAGTTAGTATATCATCGTCATCTTCATCATCGTTTTCGGATTCAACGAACATCGTTAATATAAAAAAAATATTTAGAACAAAAACCGAAGCTCTGATACCATCTGTAACGACCCAAAACCCGGTATTTCGGATATCGTTGAATCGTCACTTGGGTTAAAAAAAAATCCGATTTATTCTAAAATCAACCATCAAAATCAGACTCTACAGCGGAAGTCTAAAACAATGAATTCAATAACATAAGTCTGCATATTAATTTCATGAATAAATTGAATAAATAAAATAGAAACTCTAAATCTTCGTCTTTCTGGCAAACTACCAAATCCAACAAAAATAATCTGCTTCACTTTTCACCTGTGGAGAAAAATGAAAGGGTGAGCTACGCGAATAGCTCAGTAAGGTTGCAAGACTATAAACCTCGCCTCCGTACCCAGAATAGACAATCAAATAGAAAACAATTCAATCAACATTCAACTCAAACAAAACTTTATGCCATCACATACGGATCGCCGCCGTACTATGACCTCAAAACTCAACCAATAGCAATAAACCTCTACGGATCACCGCCGTAGTCGGGGTTATCACTCCACATGGATCGCTGCCATGTCTGGGTTGTTATCATACCATCACATACGGATCGCCGCCGTACCATGGTCTCAAAACTCACT